CCTGGTGCAGAGAACCCGAGACATTTAAAACCGCAACAATGAGTGCGCTAGGATTCTTACCAAAATCAGGAGCTCCGAAGGAAGTGAACTGATTTTATTGTCAAAACGGTGTTTTGGAACTACTGTACCAAAGTACAACACCTTACTGGTTTAGTGCTGGGATACTCACCCTGTTCACATTATTTCCCAGAAAATGTGTTGGGAGAAGGAGCAGGGTGCTTTCTACAGTTTGACTCCCTTGCCCTGGTAACCACATGTCATTACACGGAGCCCGAAGAGTAGCTTTTGTGTGAATCGAGGCCGACAGGCAGTTGGCGCACGACCAATCACAACGACCACTTGCGCCGTCGCACTTTGAACGCGCTGCCCACATAAACAAGTCGCTGATTCATTGGGCGCGGCATTGACCAGCCAACTGCGTTCCACGTAGGCGGAGCCAATGGCGGCCAATGGTGCGCTGATCACGCTACCCCTCCCTTCAGCAACGTTGTGTCGGCGGCGAATCGACGTTCGTCTGGTGCTGGAATCCAGTTCTCATTGTTGTTTCTCATCTCAGTTGATTCTTACCAAGAATAGCTTCCTTTCTAGGGATTCAACACTCTGTTAGGTAAGTTCAAGGCTAACTAGGAGGGTTTTCGGGGAAGGGGGTGATTCCTAATCGCTGCGCTGCAAGAATGCCTGAGTCGGCCAATGGGCGGTCTCGCCACTTTTCTGATCGATGCGAGCAAACATGCCTTCGCACCTTCGCCCTCCTACGCTGCTCTTTATTGGCCTTTATGACAGATGGAGGTTGAGTGGGACGGATATTTGAGACAGACCACGTCGTATGTTGGAAATCTCCAGCGGGGAAAGGGGGTCGTTTTTGGTCGAGGAAATTGTTTTGATAGTAGATTTTTCTTGTTTCACGGACACCATAGGGGGAGGGGATCGTATTTGCTCGTTGTTGGGATAGGGGTGGTCGTATTTGCCTTTGAGAGAAATCTGCTACGTTGGGAAGACCTTTCCGGTTGTTAACTTTTCGCGTTTTCCCGTTCCACATGTGCTATATACTCCTTTTTCCCCCTCGTCAGTAGAATTTTGGAGAAAAAAAACTATAAAATTTTTGCGAGATTCTGGAAAAACTGGGAAAAGAGGTCTAAAAACATGGGAGGTAGGAACGGGTGGGCTGAGGTCGTATTTTCCGAAAGTCTTCCCCTGCGGTAGGACTGTGATTTGAGAATAGGACAGTGGTGCTATTCGGCAGTGCTATTCAGTAGTGTCAATAGTCGTTTGGTCGAATTGGAACCGATAGAGCCAAAGATAAAAGCAGGGTCAAAGTTTTGCGCCTGGAAGTTTTGCCTCTCGAAGATAAGAACAAGGTCTGGTTTTGCCTTTCGAATAGTGAGTAGGATGGATGATATTTGAAACTGGCTACCTAAGAGAACGCGGGTGGGAGACGTCGAATGGCCAGAAATAGCCTTTTTCCTTGGCTACCCCCCGCCGTCCCTTCACTTCGCATCCTCCTCTCCCCTTTCTGTCTGAGTCTGACTCGATTGATTCCATAATCTTTCTTTTTCGTCAAAGACATGTTCTGTGATAACGTGATTCGTAGGAACCGGTTCATGTAAAAGTTGTTCGATCCACGATCCCAGAAGTCCATATACGCGACCATTACGAGTGACGAACCGTCATTAACTGAAGCAGTGCCGCCCTGAAAAATTGCTCCACCCATCCTGGATCCCAGATAAGCCCAACGCGATTCTTTCCATTTCTATGTAATCAATACCTTCGTCTCTCCTATCTCACCACTGTTTCGCTTCTTTGAATGCTCGTTTAGTGGGGAGGCCTCATTAAGAAGATCCTTGGCAGGTGGGAAAGGAGGGGGGACGTATGGACGCGCTCTGTGCACCTTCTCCAAACCAAGCTCTGTTCATGGTTTGCGTCAGCGTTTTGAGCGTACCAGGAAAGTATGGATATCGTTTCAAGCGTGCGCGAGCGTCTTCAGCGACTGCCCGCCAAAAGCTCAAAACTGCCCGCGAGAGCGTAAAAGAAACGCCGTCGTACTCTCGAGACGCGAGATCGATACCAAACTTTTCTACTCGCTTGAAACGCTGGCTTACGGTCAAATGACTGTGGAGGCTCAAAACGTGCATACTTTCCTAATCGCGCGAAACGCTGACGCAATTATGGAAGCAGCTGGGACTATGCTTCTTTGCAAGACTTCCTCTCGGACTCTTGTCGTCTGCGTTCAAACGTAAGCCTCGATTTGAGGAACAGTAACTAACTTCAGCAGGCGATCAGACCGACACGGGCCGTAAATAAATCTGGTTAGCACCGCGTCTTATGGTTTTGTCCACCGTTTTTCTTCAAAATAAGTAGTTAAGTCTACCCCATCTCCTATTCGAACTCCACTGCAAACGACGCAAAGGACTTTTTTTTGAAATCAGATTTCTTAGGCTTTTCTTCTTCTCGGTTTTCCGTCTTTGCAACGAAATAGTCTTTATTAGCGGATTGTTTCAGAAACAACTTCGAAATTTTTGTGCTTTGCGTTCTTGCACTAGTACGATTCTGGACAGGTTATTGCATCGTTTACATTGAGCGGAACGCACCGCGACCGCACGCTAAATTTCCATGTTTTTCATCTGTGCAATCTGTGATTTCACTGATGTTTTCGCCTCTTCTATTATCATTGTTTTCTAGATGGTCACATGCTGCTGTCCTGTGTGCGGCTGTGGCCCCATCAGGGTGGTCCATTTATATCGCCATTTACGAAGTGCACACAACTGGACAGAAGAGCAAATCGATGAGGAAGAGATGGCAATGAAGGCAAAAACTTTAGCTCAAAAAGGCAATCATAAATGTGGTGCATGCGACAAAACGTTTGTCAACGATCAAGGTTGCAGTCGACATTGGAAGGTACTGAAAGTTGTTCAATGCTGCGTTTTTGTTTACAAGTCTAGAAAGGTTTGTCAGTGTTCTGACCGGCAGCAAGATGGGGTCGTTAATTAGATTGCGTTCATACTTTGCGTCAGCGTTTTGAGCGTACGGCAGCGTTTCGAGCGACTAGGAATGCATAGAGTCAATTTAGCGTTTTGGACCTTTCGCGCTTAGTTTCGAATTTTTAGCGGGCAGTCGCTGAAAACGCTGAACTACGCTCAAAACGCTGACCCAAAGTATGAACGTACCTCAGGTGTCCAACCGGAAGAGAGCCCGAACAGAATGAACCCTTTCAACGACCATTCTTTTGCGCAGCAGTGTGCTCTTGCACACGAGTACTGCAATTATGCCTCAGAAGTCATCGTAGATGCCGCGTAGTTGTTTACATCACAAAGACATGATTAGTCTCGAAAAAGCCCTATCTTATGGTCAGCAGAAAGTATAGCCGCCTCTAGCTCATGGGAAATCCGTAGTTACGCCTTCCCCATCTTCAGGACAAGAAGTGTAATTTACCTGCAGTCATTATTGTCTCTCCTCCTGATACCACCATTTCAGGTGGCACACAAAGGAGTTCAGCGTTTTTCTGGAAATTATGTTGTCTGCCCAAGTTGTCAGCAAAAATTCCAAAATAGTGCACAACTCGTGAAACATTGGAGAGAAGAGCACGAGCAAGAGGAGGACCAAAGCGTCGATCCTAACTTCGTTCTAGGTGAGTTTTCAGATAGTCCTGCTATGATGCGAAATAGCTCCTTTATTTATGTTCGCTGTGAGATACGGCCGTAAAATGGACGGTGAAAGATGCAGGCTGCCGCGACCTAATCCACGTGACGCCAAAGTTTTAGGTTGAGTCAACTAGCTAGGGAAGCCGATTTACGCGCGATGCCGCATCTTGAGTGTTGTGGACTGTATCGGACACCATGGCTCTGGGAAAAAATTGGCCTTCCAGCACGACCCCTTCTCCCTTTGCGTCAGTTGGGATCCTTTCAGTCACAGTTCAAGTTAGGCAGCGTTCATACTTCGCGACAGCAGCGGATCGCGGCGACCTCGGCGATCGCCGCGATCGTCGGTACGTGGCAGAGCGCGCCCCAACGCTATTATGGACCGCTCGCTTGATAAATAAGGGAATCCAACTTGTGAGACCTTCTTTTCTCTTAATAATGGCTACTAACTGATAACTTACGACTTTCTATACATAAGCGGATCTGGAATATGAGGTAAGGAGGTTTCACTTCTTTTTAGGTCGGGATAAGGCCAGCTCCATTTCCTGGGAGCTTCTTTTTTTTTCTGTTCCTATCGTCTGAACTGTTCCAACTTCCAAAACATTTATAGTTTACAAGTCGAGTTCAAACAACGAAGAAAAAAAAGAAACAGAAAGAAACTCACCTAGGAACCAAAACACTAATCATTTTACGCAACATCAACAGGTGAAAACTTTATAACCTCATGTATAAGCTCGACGAATGAAAAAGAAACAATAAAAACCTACCCTAAATGAAGCTCTCACGCTTTTTGCTCATTTCTATCCTGAATCAAGAAAGAAAATAGAAAACAAAAGCCATTAAGTTGGGTTCACCTTTCTTTGTGTCAAACCAAGCTTCAGTACCTAAGAAAATTGCAGTTAAAGGAAAAAAAGCATGAAATTGAGTCGCTTCTCCCTAAAAGCCTTCGGAGCGGTCCAAGTAATAGCGTTGGGGCGCGCTCTGCCATGTACCGACGATCGCGGCGATCGCCGCTGCTGTCGCGAAGTATGAACGCTGCCTTACCTCTGGCAGCCCCACTTCCGCAATAAAAATCGTTCATTGACTTGGAAGGGTTTATATTGCTTAAAAATGTTCAAAGCCCCGTTCTATCCTGAAATTTTCCATACTTTCTGACATCAGCGTAGACCTCTACTCTCAGCAAATAAATTGAAAAAAATCACTTCCTTCCTTCAGTGTCTAGACAGGAACCACCGTTGAGCTGAGGGCAACTCTACTACAGCGCAACCTGGTGACTAAGGAAGCGACAAAAGAGCCAGGCTGTAAACTCACAACTCCCTTTCTCACCGTCGTTCTTGAATTCTGTCAAATAGAAATCGTTGCAGCGTTTCTGAATCGTACTTTGCGACAGCTCGATTGTATGGAGCGGAGAAACCAGCCGTTAATATCTAATCCTGGATGGCGTTGGAGGGGAAAGAAGAAAGTTTCTAAAGTCCCTCAAGTACAGGAGAAAGAAGTGCATGATCCTACGCAAGTTCCACAAGTGCAGATGAAAGAGGTGCATGATTCTTCTGCTGGAGAGTTGCTGTTCGACTCGGCTGTAAAGCAAGAAGCGCCTGGTCCATCTCACGTTCCCCCACAGAGTGGTTCTGAATTGCAAATGGCGGATGAAGGACATTCCGACGATTCGAGTGGGAGCAGTGATCAAAGTGGTGACGGACAGATGCTAGGCACATCGCGACGATCTCGATCTAGCGAAACTCCAGAGGAGGAGGCGGCACGAAGACGATTCAAAGCCGAGAGGGAACGCATTCGACGTTATCAGACGAAACTGCTTAAAGAGAAGCAACGAGATATGGCCATTCATGCCTATGAAGCAATGCGGAATGCGCCCCCACACGTCGCTCAGGTTGGCCGTTATGCTATGAGGTATTTGATCGAATTTCATTGGAAGTGTGTAGGCTATGTGGCGCACAAATGTTGGTCAAGCTCCACAAAATGTTGCGGTTCAAAAGACTCAGAAAGAAGTGGTGTCGCAAAATGTCACGGTTCAGAAGCCTCAGAAAGAATCGGTCTCTTCCAACAAGTTGAAGTAAGTTATCTCCACATTTGTTCAGATTTCACTGTTTGTTTTCAATGACTCAAGGCTTGATTACCCACGCTATAGTGTGGGGGAGGGGGGAGGAGAGATATTCAGAGAAACCACCTCACAATTTTGTTCACTGCGCACTTTCCAACTTAGGAGCTAGAGTGATGGGTTACGCAAGTACATGGGCTCTCCTACAAGATGCATGCTCTGCCACGAAGGGCGAGAACACAAATTTTGAAAGAGCAACGATGACCAAAGCCGCGCTCAGATTTCGCGATCGCGCGAAACTAGCGGGGCCGCTCCATCGCCGAGCGGTGCACCACCATAACGGCACAGTTCAAACTGGCACTGTGTGAACGGGCCCTGTTTGCGGCGGTGCATGGTTTAACGGTGGAGCTCTGCAGGTCTTGCGACCCAATCGAACGATCCGATTGCGCCATCACGAAGTGTGAATGCGGTCGAACGAGGTGAAACAAGGAAGTTAGCAGGAGTAAAGATGACCAGAGAGTGCAGGAGTAAAGATGGATGGGCTACGTGTGACTGCCATTACGCGCAATCATTGGTGCCACATTCTAAAGCGCGGCGTCGCGTGTTAGGCATTGTTCACAGCCTGCGGCCCAGCGTTTCTCTGGAACGCAGCGGTTCGGCGAAAAGCTTTTGATACGTATCGACGGGCGTTTCGCCAAACCGCGACGTTTTTCGCCTTCGACGAAACGCTAGCTCGATCGCCCTGGCGTTTTTCGCCAGCGAAATCGATACACATCTATTGCTTTTCGCCCAACCGCCGAACCGCGGCGGTTCGGCGAAACTAGCGGTTGGCGATTCTCCGATCGATGACTATTTTTTGCTTTTCTCCCAACCGCCGTTTCGTCAGGGTCGCAGGTCGTCGACTATGAACAATGCCTTAACCTCTCCTTACGCACCTCCAATGAGTGTGCTGATTCGCTGCCTCGCTAAGAGGGCACAAGCGAGAGGAGAGAATATGAGCGACTCGCAAGTAGATCTCAAAACGATAGAGTCCGATTCGTTTGTATATACGAACTGGCCAGGGAGGAGCTTGTCCAAAAGAAGGACACAAGTGCAAGAACCTACACGAAAATCCTGACATTCCCTGGCTCGCTATCCTTTCTTCGTACCTTTCAGCGAAAATGCTGTCCAATACAAAAAAAAATCAAAGAAATAGGATTTAATTGGAACTGGTACTATTTAGTTCTGTTACAAGGGTTTACACGACCTTAAAAGATAACAAGAAGTTGGTTTTTTGACAGCAGTTTACAAATCTCCCCCACCCCTTCCCCCACCTCCCCTTCCTATAGCTTCCTTTTGTATGCAGGTAGTTGTTGCAATGTATGAGTTTCAACATTTCAGAGCCGCATGCTACGCACTTGTTGGCCTCAGTTCAGAGTCGGAGCGACAAAAATTTGTTGACGTTGCGGTTAGTTCAAAGATAATTTTGAGTTGGTCTTACCATTTTTCCAATTTCCATAATATTTTGCAGGTCAGCAATGGTTTCTGTGATTTGATGTTCATGAAAGGTCCGATAGGCAATGTAAGGGAAAACGTTCTTCTTGCATCGCTCTTCGAGCACCTCACGTCGCTAAACGTTTTCTTCTTGTAGGCTTTGGATGGTGTCCAACTATTGTACTTGAACACCTCAGGAGTTGCTCCTCGTCCTCAGGAGAAAGCAGCAACGAAAGTGGAAGTCAATGGTGTGTTTATGTGTTATTTCCTGAAATTCTAAGCCGCCTACTCTTCTCGAGTGCGACGGAACCCGCAGTTCGGACTAATCGACGGCTCGGGAATACTCACGGAGTAGTGTACGTACCGAATTGGAGATGCTTAGCTCGGGATGGAGGAGGGAGATTGCCTGTAAATGGGTAGATGAAAACCATGGTGTTGGTTCTCCCAAATTGTGGCTTTCTAAGATTTATGCGCGAAGTTGCCTTTTTCATGCTTCCCGCAACACGCGAAATTCTTCCGAATCACGGATTAACTAACTAAATCGAGATTCTTATCACTTTGAAAATGTGGAGTAGCGAAGGGAAAATTTCATGGCGCCTGGAAAGTCGGGTAATATAGGTTGGAAGGAAAATCCTGTCACTGTTGTGACTTTTTTTCTTTTTTATTTTCTAACTCAACATTCAGTAACTTTTTTTATTTTCTAACTCAACATTCAGTGGGAATTAGTCAACAATATACTCGTCATTCTTAGACACTACAGTGCACCGCCTAATGGGCAGGCAAGCATTCCACCTCTCCCAGCACTGGGGAAGCTGCGAGTAGAGTAAGTCAGGGGACTCTCGATGTCATCAAAGTTGCTGAAAGTTTTCTTGGCTGAGAAAGCCTTGAGGAGGTGGAACAGGTAGCAGTCCTAGGGGACTACGCCAGGAGAATATGATAAGCGGGGACTGGTCTCCCAGCCTTGCTCCTCAGATTATTTGGTAGGTCTCCATAGCAAGTATGGGGGCTCGCGTACTATGAACGAGGTGCTCCGAAGCTAGTTTCGGTCATTTTTTTCCAACGGTTTCTCACCAGGAGCTGAGCGACGCAAATGCTAGCGGTGACCGTCTGTTCTTACAGGGCAGCCCGATCTGCAGCATCCCAATTGCGTCCCTGTAGCAGCACAGGAGAACCTTCTCGGAATACATGCCCGGTTTGGACTGCTAGAAAAAAGGGTCTTCTCCTTGAGAGAGACACACGGTACAGTGTGGGTTGAAATCACAGAGGACCCATCTCTCATCTCCACTAAGCAGTCTCCTGAAAACTCCTTCTGACGAGGGCGGAGAAGGGGAGACTCACCAAGCGGGTACCCATGTGCACAGTATGTAAGGTTATGAAATGAGCCAGTAGTGAAGGGGTTACAGGCTGGTTACAGGCGGTCGACGACTGTAGTTAGGTACATCCGAGTCTTGTCGTAAGACTGCGGGTGGTAACCTTCGGATCCTCCTTGTCTGCTTCGAGAATGGTGGAGTCTTCCACTCGTGAGGCCGTCCCAACCAAGAATTATCTTCGAGGTTCGGGTCTCTTTTCGCGAATCGAGCGAACCAAAAGTGAACGGCCTTGATGGCAGTGGTGTCCTCCGGCAATGCACTGTTGATGTTGCTGACAGCTGTCGTGGCTCCAGTGCTGTGGGGCCACCGATAGAACATGATGACCTGAAGATGCTCCTGTGAAACTTGACATGTATTAGGTTGTGTCCGGAAAGTTCTTAGCGTTTTGGGTGTTTAACTTTAAACGATCATAACTTTCTTAACACTCATCGGATTTAATCCAAATAAGCACCATTCGAATCAGCACACTTTTGCCAATGTGGCAGCAGTCGAGAAATCCCATCAAAGAAAAACTGGTGGTCGAGAATCCACGAAATCTGCGAAGGTCTTTTTTGCCTGGTCCTGTTTGATGAAGTATTTCTCAGCAGGAAAGTTCTGAAAATGTCTGAAAAGGTGACAGTCGGTTGGTGAAAGGTCTAGAGAATATGGTGGGTGAGTAGAACTTCAACTCCCAATTCGTTCAATTTATGGATAGTGATTTGTGAAACGTGTGGGCGGGCGTTGTCATGCAAAAGAATCGGACCCTTTCTTTTGATAAGTGTTGGCTGCAGCTGACAATATTTTCGGTACATTTGGTCGGTTTGTTCACAGTAGGGTTCTGCTGTGATGGTTTGGCCTGGTGATGAAAAGTTATAGTGGATTACAACAGCCGATGACCACCAAACCTGACCAGAATTTTTTTTTCGCGAGGGTTCGGCTTTGAAAATTACCTCGGTGGTTCCTCCAAATCCAACCACTGTCCGGAACGTCTCCTGTTATCATACATGATCCATTTTTCATCACAGGTGACAAATCCGTTCAAAAACGGGTCAATTCTTTTGCGCAAAAGCAGTGAAGAAGGAACCTCGAGACGTGCCGATTCCTGCCGGTCACTCCGATTGTGGGGCACCCAATTGTCGAGTTTTTTCACCTTCCCAATGCGTTCCAGACCATCTGCAACAGTGGATTTGCCAAGGCCTAGCTCTTCTGCTATCTCTCGAACTGTTTGGGATGGGTCAACCTTCAAAATCCCCCTAAAATCCTCGTCAGATATTGCTTTAGGTGCCGCTATGAGGCTCTCACCTTCAAGGCTGAAATTTCCAGAACGACATTTGTTGAGCCATTGCGGCACAGTGCTTTCTCTAGCACTATTGGGCCCCCACACCTGGTTAATTTGTTGAGCTGTTTCGATTGCGGATTGCCCCATTTTATAGCCGAAGAAAAAAATCGTCCGAAGTGCTCTTTTCACATGCTTGAAAAAATCTTGAAAAAAGAGGGTTTATCAAGCAATGGTGAAACGGCAATTATACCACAGATAGCGCATAGCCAACTCTACAGGATGTGCTACTGAGAAGCAAGGCAGAATGAGTTTTTAATCAGCAGTGAATGTACAAAGATTAGGTGCACAAAACGCTAAGAACTTTCCGACAGAAGAGCTAATAATTAGAACCCAGGAAAGAGCAGGCGCCCTCACACACCTCTTGCACAGAAGCTCTTAGAATGTTCTACAAGCATGGTATGTTGCGTCATGTTCAACCATCGAGAATCAAAAACTGTAATCCTCTCAAAAAAACCCACTGAAAGGACTTTCCGCTCAACCTATGACTTCTCTATTGAACCTAAAATTCTTTTGCTGAGAAAATGAGTAACGGCACCAGACTTTTCCACTTTTTTTCGCAATTTGAGGAACGAAGCAGAAATGATTTTGTGGCTTACCATGTGCGCGTCCGCCGGTCAAATCCCGGATCGGCTCCTGGGCACCAGACGACCCTCCGAGGACGGTAATTTATTGCCAGATTCGTCTGGAATGAAAGGACCCTGAAAAGGGTTAGTCCGAACCTCATGTGATGCAGTGTGAATGGTGGCTCTTCCTCACCACTTCTATAGCACAAGCACAGTTCCTTCAAATTGCAACATGTTTGCTCATCAACTCGATAGATGAAAGAGTAATCCTTTAATTCGAGCCCATGTCAAAGTCGAGGTGACGTCTGTTTTTGCTAGGCACCAGCCTCTGTTGTGGTAGGATGGCGTCCCCCAAAGGTGTTCCGAACACATAAATCCTTTATAACCAACGGTTGGATTGAAACCTTACGAAAATCGGGAAGGGAGTGGGGAAAGAAGGGTTGCGTGAGCTTCAAACGTAAAACGGACAGGGAGTGATTCTAGTAGAGTAAGTGGTGAATATATTTGCAAAAAAAACCAATAATCAAAAAAATCGTTCTCACCAATCTCGTGATATCACTTCTTTAACATGTTGGTATTTCTTAGAAAACGCGCTCGAATCTTAGTGCACCTGAAACTTCTCGATATATATACAGTCATCAGTCTAAATCAGCGGCTCCAGGCGCGAGCACGAATCCAGCGTAGTATTTTTTACTTCCCAGTTGTTTACCACTCTACAGAGGCTTTTGCCGCGCTCACTGCGCTGCAGCGCACTCTATGAGTGACCTGCAGCGCAGTGCACCCAAAAAGCTCTGGTAGAAAATAGAGCTCACCGTCTTGTTCGCTGCGGATGAAGATCATGTGAGAAGGATGGCGGTTGGGCGGGCGCCAAACCCGTTCTCGAACAATTGTTTGAAGCGATAAGCGATAACCGTTGTTGGAAAATGACTAATGCGGAAAATATGGTAGTCTTTTCCATTGCTCACTTCAACAACTGTTGGAAAAAGGGGACGGACGCCGCGTTAGACCCGTCCCACTTTCACGCCCTTTCATCGCGGGCACGGCTTAAGCGATGCGTCGTTGCATAAATTGCAATGAGCTAATTCAGCAAACTGACTCCAAGGCCGCAAGCAATGCAGCTGTGCATTTGCCTTGGGATATACTCTGAAAGCTTATTTTTCAGCAGTGGAGGCATATTTCTTAGCGATGCCATTAAACTTCAATTACAGCTGTAACAGTCAATCGAATGATGCTGGGGAAGTCATTGTCATTCCTACAACAGAGAACGAAAGATCTGTGGAACAAATGAAAAACTTCTGTGTGGTCTGCGGGGTAAAAGCCCAGACTGATGATGTAAGACTATCGTCGGACAAACGTCAAGAAAATATCGTTCTTTTCGCCTGCCTACGCGCTCAGAATTGTATTGATGTGGAAGCTGCTAAGAGAATGTTAAAAGTAACCGATAGTATGTCTGTACCGATCTGTCATGACCATTATATTCAGGCGGTGAGTGCATTGCTTTCTTGTCTTCCTGCTGCAGTTGTTACGTTGTTTAGAAGAAGGAACACGATCTTTTAGGCCGACTATATTGGGAAAGAAGTGGAACTGATGAGTGGTATATTCCCAGAAAATGGATTTAATGATGTTCCTTCTATTGTGGGGACTGACTTGTTGTCGTTTATACAGGTTTATGCAAATCATCTCGGGGTATGTTTTCCCTCGCTTTCTGCACAAGCAGAGTCCTTGCTCAAAAACATGTTCGCTTTTTGAACTACTCCTACCCCAAAAACTCAAAAAAAATTTCTGCTGGCACTTGACAAAGGGGTAATTCGGAGACGAAACGGATCATCTGTGCTGTGGAGTGTATGCATTTCCCCCAATGTTTGTTTTTTCTTTGTTTCTAATTGATTACTATATGACATTGCTTTTTGGATTGGCGCCATTTGGCGCTGATTTGGTGGAATCAGCCATCTCACCAACACCGATAAATACTTGTGTGCGGGAAGTATATTGACATCCTGATCCCGAATACCTCTTTGGTTTTTGCGCT